GTAAAAGCGAGTACGACTTTCGTCGAATTTTTTTACAGCTTGAATATGATGCATGAGATCGCCCCCGTTGAGATATTCCATCACAAAGAACAAATATTCCTGAAACAGACCAACTAGCCAAGCTACTCTTTCTTCTAACACTCGTCATCACTGTTCTGAAATAACTAATCATCCTAATCGGTGGCTTTTAACCTGGAACTAGAGAATACCAGAACAAATGGGAGAGATCGAAAAGTCCGCAGGAGCTACGCGCAGCATTTCGACGAAAGCTCCCTACTGGGAATCATGATGAAATAAATTTCCGCCAGCATAATTATTTCGCTGGCGATATAAGCCGCAGTGGAAACCAGCAGTGCTATCATCCAGATTATTTCAGATCTGCATCTCATTCTATTGCCTCCTATGTCCTTTTACGGCCGCGTCTCCATATAAATTTCAGTTTTGGACAGCTATAAGCATTCTACTTGCGATTAAAATGATATGGAAACCTACATTTGTTTGAAACGAACAGAATAACTGGCATAGGAACGGGCACTGGGATGATAAGATAAGTACACGCCGCTCGATGAATGTGCATTCGGTGTCGTCATCCTCCAATATTACATCCTTTTTCAAGCACTTCATCGCGTAGAACTCTTCCTTGTTCTTTAGTTCCACTAACAACACCTGTAGTTTCAAAGCGTACCTAACTGCCTGACTTCTCCAAAGAGTTGTGGAAAGCTGAATAAATAAAAATACATGTTTATTCGGAGGAACTATCTGAATCTCCTAAATTCGATCCAAACTTTGTACCTCAACTTAAGTCTGGTAGCGGCTTGGGAAGTACTTAAGGTTTAGAAGGCGGTAGCTTCAAGTAAAATCAATGCACGCTACGACCAGCATCGTATGTTACACTGAGAGAACGATGCATTCATCTGGAAAAACAATCGAAAAATGCGACGGTACGCAAGATGGACAAAAACAGGCCGAAGGAAGAGGCTCGGGCTTGGCGTGTTTTACATCAGCAGCCTGAGCAGCGTCCGTAGAAATTCAGGATTTCAGCGTAATACAAAAAGGAGCATAGTAAAATGCTCAACAACAACTAGAAGTAATGGGGATTTTTAAGTGTTCTACACAGCTACGCCTTTCACCTGTGCTCATTTCTGTTCTCTTTCCAGTTTTAGACCAAAACAGAAATTATTTGAAAGCGAGAGGGAAAGAGTGGATCTCATAAATTTCAAAAAAGGGCCACATCTAAGAAAAAGTAACGCTTACATGAGCATC